CCCAAGGAGTTCACGTACTCACATCAGGTCCTGCCGCACCTGCACTTTACGGGTCATACCAGTAGGCACTCAATCAAACACAACTGTCATGAGATGCATGTAGCACACGAGGTCACCCTACTGGCTACCCATGGTCTCATCGCTCCTTATCACTCCAGGCTTCGACCTAATTGGACCGAGCTGACCTTGCTCTGATACCAAATCAAACGGGGATGTCACGCCCCGTACCCCATTGGAACGCAACATCCCGTCACGGTCGATTTTGGTGCGATGCTCCTAGGAAGCATCGCCGACCCAACGCCCAATCAGAGATCAAACACATGCAGAAGCACGTATATAAATATATATATACACCCTGACAATAAAACACATGAGACCAAGGTAGTACATTAAGTAAACAGCACCTCTGAAAATATGTAAACTAGTATTACCATAGGAAACTTTTTACAAAATTCATTTATACAACGGCCGAGAAAACACACAGTCAGCAGCCACTCAGTAAAAAGGGGTCAGCGTATATCACTTCGGGCTCCTCAGCTTCCTCGACCATGGCTGCAGGTCCATCCCCACAAGGGTGCACACTAGATGACCGCTGGATGAATTGCGGTATACCAAAAAGAGGCGCTCTCCTTAGCATCCTACGGCTGGGGGTCTGAAATGTTTCGGTTTACACAACCGTGAGACGAATCTCAGTGAGTTCAACCCCTAAACCTAGGCTAGGCTAGCATGCAATCTCCTGACCGGAAAATAAATATGTGAAACCATAGTGCAACAACAATCAAATAATCCTCCGATCCTGCAGGTTAGACAGTTCAATATATAATAATCACGGCACGTACGTGGCACATATTATCACACGTATGCCAATTACATGCTCATGCACCGAGGCTCACACACTCGCATGCCAGTCCATGCATGTTCATGCATGCAAATGTCGTCGACATGTCACGTGTATTTCCCCGACCCACTGGTCCACACTGGCACACTGGTAATCGCCCAATTTATTATTTATTATGACTCGAGTCAACAACATTCACGGCCCGGTGCGTCTAGCCTGCTTCAAAGTGCATGAGGCGCAGCAACCGGTCTGGCCAGTGTCTCTAGCCTGCTTCAAAGTGCATGAGGCGCAACACTGTTCTCCTTGCGAACCAGAGCCTGCTTCAAAGTGCATGAGGATGGTCGCCTTCCGGACGTACCGGGCATCGTCCTGCTTCAAAGTGCATGAGGACGGTATCGACCCGAAGGTCATAACCCAAAGGTCCTTAGGTGATCACACAACTCATTATTATCTTAACCAAGCGTATAACGCTTCAGGGTATTTTAGGTGATCACATGCTCATGGCAGACACGCATTCTCGCGCAAATTCATCACATGCCTCACTCTTGGCATACGCAATGCGTGTCCAAGTTATGCAATGCAATGCACCACGAGCACCAATATAATTCAGACACCCGATGTTACAACACGTGCTTAATTGGCCCAATTAATACCGTGTGGCCTAACGTGCGATTCACAAATCAGTAAATCATTGTAAACCAAACAATGGCCAATCGCACTCCATAAAATCAGCCACACCACATACGACATAGCAGTACGAAATCAACCACAATTAAGTACAATTGACGTACAATCAGTCAACCCGGACATACCCGGTAATTTTCCAATGGGCTCCTAAATTGGTCATTTAATCCAATTAATCTCCCCAAATAATTCTCATTAATCCACTAAATTTCCAAATGATAATTTCTACCAATCCGTCCTCAACCCAGTCTGAAATACACACTGATACTATCTAAGCCAGTCCAAATTGTACCGATAATACCTAAACCAGTTCAGAAAAAATGCACTAACAGTCCTAATCCGGGTTGAGGAATTTTACTCACTTAATGTCTGGACCACGGCGACGGGGAACGGCGGTCGATCACTGATGAACAGTGAAACCGGCGGCGGAATTCCCGGCGCACGTACTGTTCATGTGGCACTGTTCACGGCGGTATTGTTCATGGAGTACTGTTCACGCGGTACAGGGACTTGTACGGACGGGCGGAAAACGGTGGCCGGCGAAGTGGCGGTGACGGCACGGCGGCCATACGGCCCGGCGTGAACAATGATCCGTACGGACGCGATGAACAGTACCGTACGGACAGGGCTGGATGGTGACGGAACGGCGATCAGAGCTCCGGCGAGGCTCGGACGCGGCGGCGGTGCTTTACCGGGAGAGAAAAAGAGAGAGAAAGAGAGGGAAAGGGAGAGAGAAAGGTCTGGACAGAGGCGGGAGTGGCTGCTGGTGGTACTGGCTCGGCGGGGGCAGCTCCGGCTGGTACTGTTCCGGCGTGAACAGTACCAGACGGATAGAATGTAGTCCATGAAGAAGATGAAACAATGAAGAAGAAGAGGAAGAAGGGAGGTCTCGGCAGAATGGCTGGAGGAGAGAGAGAGGGTCTAGTCAAATAGGTCAAAGATTGAATTAGTAGAGTCCAAGTGTCCTAATCTTGGCCAATTGGACAATTTTGCCCTTGATCCAAGGGCTAAGATTAATCCTCATCCAATAATTTAGAGATAAAATGGTCATTTGTCCTTAACCATGGTTGACCAGACCTGAGTTAAGCCTAACTAATATTGGTTAACCCCCAAAAATTAACTAAATTTCGGAATTAGTGAAAAATGGCCTAGGGGCATTTTCGTAATTTTCCGATCCCGAACCGAAATTTCAATTTTCGCACATACGTGTTCCATATGTGCGTGGCCAACATAATATGGCGTCAGAATCGCGAACTTCACTTTTTAAGTCCTCGAAAACTGACTGCAAAGTTTTCGGGAATAAAATAATATTATTTTTCCAATTTTTGTCGAAATTCCAATTTTTCGCCAAAACCAGTCTAAATGTGCGTGGCCACCCCAAAATAACCTTGGCCGCGAAAAATAATCTCAAACGGCCTCCGAATCCAGCCTCGGTGCCCACAGGGGTAAAACCGTAATTTTTCACCCCCGGACCGAAATTCCACTTTTTACTCGTACTAACTCCAAACATGTGTGGCCAGCATAATATGACGTCAGATTCCCAAAAATAGTCTCTTAAGCCTTCGAAAATCGACATCGAAATCCGGGCCTAATTTCGTGATCAAAACTCGCTCGAGTTTCAATTTCAAGGTCTCTGGCTAACGGGCGGCTGTTTAGGACATACGCGTATCGATCTAGGGTTATTCGAATTACGACGGTCCCGATCATTGAGAGAATGAGAAATTATCATTAGTTCCAAAGATCACGATCGTTCGGTTCAAGTTCATGACTGGTTGGCCACGTGCACTTTCGGTCTTGCAGAATCACCTGCGATCCGATTGTACATCGTTGGCCTTGGCCAAACCAAATCCATCACCTTTCCTAAGATCGGCCCACATTGGCCCAAAATATTCACTCATCGTTTCTCGAGATCGGTGTCCCGTTCGCTGTCGAGTCCCTAGTCCACGTACCGTTTCCTAGTTAGCCATACCCCATTGGTTAATATCCCGAGAGTAATCAGCTCTGGGCGAGACTTACTAAAATGAAATGCGAAATAGTGTCAATTTTATTGATCCTGGAATTACGTCGAAATTCGGGCTGTTACAAATTCTTTGAACACCCGATTCATCAAATCCATGAAAGCAGCTGGGGCGTTCGTCAATCCAAAGGGCATAACTAAAAACTCATAATGCCCGTATCTAGTCCTAAAAGCAGTCTTAGGGATATCCTCATTTCTGATCTTCAGCTGATGGTACCCGGTCCTCAAATCTATCTTAGAAAATACTGAGGCTCCTTGTAACTGGTCAAACAGATCGTCAATCCTCGGCAGTGGATACTTATTCTTTACTGTCACTTGATTCAACTGCCAGTAATCTATGCACAGCCTCAGAGTTCCATCTTTCTTTCGCACAAATAGGACTGGCGCTCCCCATGGAGACGCACTAGGGTGAATGAAACCTTTGTCCAGCAACTCCTGTATCTGCACCTTCAGTTCCTTCAATTCAGATAACGACATCCGATATGGTGCCTTAGAGATCGGTTCAGTTCCTGGTGCCAACTCTATCACAAATTCCACTTCTCACTCGGGCGGTAAACCAGGTAATTCCTCAGGAAAGACTTCGGGGAAATCGCATACTACGGGTATGTCCTCCAACTTAGATTCCACCACTGTCAGATCCACTACATTTATCAGATATCTTTCACACCCATCATCCAATAACTTGCTCACCTCAAGCGAGGAAATCCAGGGGATCGAGGTTCCTCCTCGGTTTCCCTGAAATACAAAACTAGGACATCCATCCGGATTAAATTGGATTGTCCTATCGCTGCAATCCAATACAGCTTTCTGTCGGACTAACCTGTCCATTCCAATGATTACATCAAAATCGAACATGGCCAATACTGCCAAGTCGATACTTTCTTCCTTACCCCCAATAACTATCTTACAGCTAGGGCATCCAAAAGAAACTAACACTCTATCATTCATAGGTGTCGACACGCAAAGCACATTCTCAAGCAATATCGGTTTCAGACCAACCAACTTAATAAACCGTTCGGAAATGAAAGAGTGGGTTGCCCCCGGATCAAACAATGCATAAGCGGCATGATCACATAAGGAAATCGTACCTGTGACCATGCCCGGGGCATTCTCAGCTTCTCTGCGCGCTAAAGCATAGACCCTTCCTTGAGCTGGTGGTCGCCCTTGATTAGCCGGTGGGGGAAGTCTGGCCTGGTTTCCAATTCGTGGCGGCGGTAATCTGGGCGGTCCTGAGGGCTGCATCTGCGGGCAACTGCGAATTTGATGCTCCATACTCCCGCACTTAAAACATGCTCCAAACCTTCTCGACTGATTACTTGGCTTTCCAATATTTCGCCTGGCGGGTGGGGCAAACCTCTTGTTCCCAGTTACAGGTTTCTTTCCCAAGTGGCGATTGTCTCTGATCTGGGTAAACCGCGATCCAGATGCGGCTGTCCTATCCACCTGGTCCCGCTCAAGAGCCTAAGCTCTATCATAGATGTCCTCATAGGTTCTCAGGTTGGAAGGTATCAACAGGGTACGAATGTCAGGCCTCAATCCTTCTCGAAATTTTCGCGCCTTATCTTCGGGATGTTCCACCATCCTCGGCGCAAACTTAGACAATCTAGCGAATTCCGCCTCATACTGATCGACAGTCATCTGACCCTGGCGGAGTCGCACAAATTCTGCTATCTTTCTTTCCCTGGCACTATCCGAGAAGTATTTCCCATAAAAATTTTCAATAAACACGGCCCAAGTCTGAGCGACACCTTCCGGAAATACTCTTCCCTTGGTGGCCTTCCACCAATCACTCGCATTGTCCTGCAACTGATAAACGGCTAGGGTCACTTTCTCCTGCTCGGTGCACCCCAACACCTCAAACGCCTTTTCCAGTTCCTCTACCCACTTCGGTGCAGCCTCGGGGTCACCTTTTCCCGTAAACTTAGGCGGCTTCAATTTCATAAATTGCTCCACTAGATGGGGCATCAGTCTAACCCCTGCTGGTTGGGCCTGCCCTGGATTGGCCTGATTTCTTTCATTACCAGCTATCGGGGCGGCCTTAGCTGTCTGAGCATAAGCTGCGGCCCTTTCCTGAGCCTGCAATCCCATAACTCGCCCTATCTCCCGTAAGGTATTCATTACTTCATCAAACCTGGGATCTCTAGCCTCACGAACTCCCTCGCTAGCCTAGGCTTGGGGCTCTTTCCCCCTTCTCCTACTTGGAGCTTGAATAATGTCCTCTAGTCGGCGGTCTCGGCCTTCTTGGCCTTCTGAACTAGGCTGACCTTGGGTCTCCTTACCCTTTCTTCTATTCATCTTGCTACCCGGCTATACAACTACCTGCTATAATTCCATTAAGGAATTAAAGACTTAAACCAATCTATCACAGTCTAAGTCCTAGGCAGGTATCAAACAACAATTAAGCAATCAGCATGCGGCTTAATAAAAACTAACCAACTCATCACCCAAGGGATTCGCATACTCACCTCAGATCCTGCCGCACCTGCACTTTACGGGTCATACCAGTAAGCACTCAATCAAACACAACTGTCAAGAGATGCATGTAGTAGACAAGGTCACCCTACTGGCTACCCATAGTCTCATCGGTCCTTATCACTCCAGGCTTCGACCAGATTGGACCGAGTTGACCTTGCTCTGATACCAATTCGAACGGGGATGTCACGCCCCGTACCCCACGAAGCGCGAGCATCCCATCTCCTGTCGTTTGTGATGCAACGCTCCCAGGATGCGTCGCCGACCCAACGCCCAATCAGAGATAAGTCACATGCGGAAACAACGTATATAAATATATATATATATATATATATATATATATATATATATATATATATATATATACACCCGTACAAAACAACACACGTGAGACCAAGGTAGAATAGCCATCAAACAAGAATATACACTTGTACTGTTATAGTAAAAGCCTTTTTACACTATCCATTTGTACAACTCCAAAAACCTCAACATCAGTATTTAACTGCCACTATATCAAAAAGAGTAGGTGGCACAGGTGGTTAGGCTAACTAGGATATGAATGCTATTCAAAAAGAGACGGTCTTCGCTTCCCATGGTACCGGCCTGCTCTAGGGCTCCTAGTCAGGGTCGAACGACTCGGTAGAATCATCTGGCAACTCCTCGGAGGCATCTTTACGGCTGGGGGTCTGAAAAGTTTCGGTTTACACAACCGTGAGACGAATCTCAGTGAGTTCAACCCCTAAACCGGGGCTAGGCTAGCATGCAATCTCCTGATCGGAAATAAATATTTGAATCACAATACAACAATAATCAAACCATTCTCTGACCCTGCAGGTTAGACATATCAACATATAATAGTCACGGCACATACGTAGCACACATTATCACACGTACGCCAATCACATGCTCATGCACCGAGTCTCACACACTCACATGCCAGTCCATGCATATTCATGCATACAAATGTCGTCGACAGGTCACGTGCATTTCCCGGCCCACTGGCCCACACTGGCAATCGCCCAATTTATTAATTATTACGACGACTCGAGTCAACAACATTCACGGCCCGGTGCGTCTAGCCTGCTTCAAAGTACATGAGGCGCAGCAACCGATCTGGCCCAGTGTCTCTAGCCTGCTTCAAAGTGCATGAGGCGCAACACTGATCTCCTTACGAACCAGAGCCTGCTTCAAAGTGCATGAGGATGGTCGTCTTCCGGACGTACCGGACATCGTCCTGCTTCAAAGTGCATGAGGACGGTATCTATCCGAAGGTCACGACCCGAAGGTCTTTAGGTGATCACGCAACTCATTGTTATCTGAACCCATCGTATGACGCTTCAGGGTATTTTAGGTGATCACACACTCATGGCAGGCACGCATTCTCGCACAATTCCACCACATGCCTCACTCTAGGCATACATAATGCGTGTCCATGTTATGCGATGCAATGCACCATGAGCACCAATGAAATTCAATCACTCAATATCACAACGCGTGCTTAATTGGCCCAATTAATACCGTGTGGCCCAACGTGCGATTCACAATTCAATAATTAATTTCAAACCAATCATTGGCCAATCGCACCCCACAAAAATCAGCCACACTACATGCGACATAGCAGTACTCAATCAATCACAATTAAGCACGAATTACATACAATCAGTCAACCCGGACATACCTAGCAATTCCACCAATGGGCTCTTAAATTGGCCTATCAATCCAATTACTCTCCCCAATAAATTCTCATTGATCCACTACATTTTTCCCGATAATAATTTCCACCAATCGGTACACTAATCCCTCTCAGCATGTACTAGTATTCCTAAACCAGTCCAGAAAAATACACTATCAGTCCTAATCCGGATTTAGGAATTTTACTCACATAATCCAAGGTCACGACGACGGGGAACGGCGGCCGATCACTGGTGAACAGTAAAATCGGCGGCGGAATTCCCGGCGACGCGTACGGACGGCGTGAACAGTGACCGTACGGACGCGGTGAACAGTACCTCCCTGTACGGATACTGTGCGGGACAAGCTGGGCACAGTGGCCCGCGAGGTGCTGGCGGCCGACGCGACGGCCGTACGGACGGTGACCGTACGGCGCTACAGTACCCGACCGTACGGGGGGACAGGTACGGTTGGCGTCGTACAGCATGGCTAGACGGCTGGGTGTCGACGGAACGGCGATCGGAGCTCCGGCGAAGCTCCGGCGAGGCTCCGACGCGGCGGCGGTGCTAACCCGGGAGAGAAAAAGAGAGGGAAAGAGTGAGAGAAATGGGTCGGACAGGGACAAGGCCGAGGCTGGGGGCTGTGATGGTCGACGGCGGGGCACGGCGGCGCTCCGGCAGCCGGCAGCGAGCTCCGGCGAGGCAAACCGAGAGAGAAAATGAGAGAAAGAGAGGATGATCTGTTGGTGGGGGTGGTCTGGCCGAGAGGGAGGGTGAGGAGAGAGAGAAAGCAGTCCAAGTTGGTCAAATATATCAACCCACAAGTGCCACGTGTTGCCGATCCGCGAAAAATGACCAAAACGCTCCTAATCTAACGGTTCTAAAGAGATAGGCTTAAATAATTGAGGGGCAATTAGGTCTTTGGTGCCAATAATGCAGCTGATAACCTCTGGTAATTATCCCAACAATATTCCAAAAATTCGGACCCGAAAATAGCCCAGGGGCAAAATCATCATTTTTCCGGTCCCGGGGCGAAATTCCAATTTTCATACATACGCGTTCCATATGTGCGTGGCCAACATAATATGGTGTCGGATTCGCGAAATTCACTTTCTAAGCCCTCGAAAATCGACTGCGAAGTTTCGGGAATAAAATAATATTATTTTCCCAATTTTTGTCGAAATTCCAAGTTTTTGCCATAACGACTCCTGGTATGCGTGGCCACCCAAAAATGGCGTCGGCCACGAAAAATAACCTTATTTGGCCTCAAAAAGCGATGCTGGCGTCCCGAGGGGCAAAATCGTAATTTTTCACCCCCGGACCGAAATTCCAATTTTCAACTGTACTAACTCAAAATATGCGTGGCCAGCATAATATGACGTCAGATTCCCAAAAATAGTCTCTTAAGCCATCGAAAATCAACATCGAAATCCGGGCCCAATTTCGTGATCAAAACTCGCTCGATTTCCAATTTCAGGGTCTCTCACTAACGGGCGGCTGTCTAGAGGTTACGCGTATCGACCTAGGTTTATCCGAGTCATGACGGTCCTGATCATTGAGAGAATGAGAAATTTTCACTAGTCCCAGAGATCACGATCGTCCGGTTTAAGTTCAGGACTGGTTGGCCATGTGCACTCTCGGTCATGCAGAATCACCTGCGAATCCGATTGTACATTGTTGGCCTTGGCCAAACAAAATCCGTTACCTTTCCTAAGATCGATCAACATTGGTTCATAATATTCTCTCATTATTTCTTGTGATCGGTGTCCGCTTCGCGATCGGATCCTTGGTCCACGTACCGCTTTCTAATTAGCCATATCCTATTGGTTAGTATCCCAAGAGTGATCAGCTCTGGGTGAGACTTACTAAAATGAATTGCGAAATATTGATAATTTTATTGATCCTGGAATTACATCGAAATTCGGGCTGTTACAATGCAATGTGATGGTATGAAGGATGTGGGGAATTTGGAGGAGTCGAGTGTTGTTTATATAGAGGAACGACATGAAAATGATGACGGGAGATGATGACCGAAGAAGTTACAAGTTCCTTACTATCGTCAACAATCACACACCTTGTTTATTACTAAAATAGATGAGATTAACGCGCACAAGCAAGCCCAGTTTAGAGGTATGTGTATGACTTTGCAAAGCTCATTAAAACAGCTTGCAAACACCAAAACGAAAACTAAAAGGAAATGCTAATAAAAATGGCAGTGATCTTCACTAGAAACCACTTGCTTTTTGGGTGTGAACTGTAGTATTTTTGGGAGGATTTCGCTATGTGCAAGTAATTTTATCTTCACAATTCCTCATGAGCATTGACGCAAGACTAGATTAACACGCACAAGCAAGCCCAGTTTAGAGATATGTGTATGACTCTACAAACTCATTAAACAGCCTGCGAACACCAGAATGAGAATTAAATGGAAATGCCGAGGAACATGGCAGTGATTTTTAATAGAAACAAATTGCCTTTTGGGTGTGAACTACAATATTTTTTGGATGATTTCGCTATGTGCAAGTAATTCTATCTTCACAGTTATCATGGGCATCAACAATCGCACACCGCCTTCATTACTGAAATAGATGAGATTAACGCGCACAAGTAAGCCCAGTTTAGAGATATGAAAGCTCATTAAACAGCCTGCGAACACAAGAACCATAACTAAATGGAATGCTGATGAACATGGCCGTGACTTTTAATAGAAACCAATCGCTTTTTGGGTGTGAACTGCAGTAATTTTTTGGAAAGTTTTGGCTATGTGCAAGTAATTATATCTTCACAGTTCCTCACAGGCATCAACAATTACACACCGCGTTCATTACTAAAATAGATGAGATTAACATGCACAAGCAAGCCCAATTTAGAGATATGTGCATGACTTTGCAAAGCTCATTAAACATCCCGCGAACACCAAAACGAGAACTAAATGGAAATACTGATGAACATGGCGGTGATTTTTAATAGAAACCAATTGCTTTTTGGGTGTGAACTGCAGTAAGTTTGTGGAATGTTTTGCTATGTGCAAGTAATTCTATCTTCACAGTTCCTCCCTGGCATCAACAATCACACACGGCGTTCATTACGAAAATAGATAAGATTAACACGCCAAGCAAGCCCAGTTTAGAGATATGTGCATGACTTTGTAAAGCTCATTAAACAGCCTACGAACACCAGAACAAGAACTAAATGGAAATGCTTATGAACATGGCAGTGATTTTTAATACTGATGAACATGGCGGTGCGTGACTTTGCAAAGCTCATTAAACAGCCCGCAAATACCAAAACGAGAATAAAAGGAAATATTGATGAACATGGCAGTGATTTTTAATAGAAACCAATTGCTTTTTGGGTGTGAACTGCAGTAATTTGTGGAATGTTTTGCTATGTGCAAGTAATTCTATCTTCACAGTTCCTCTCGGGTATCAACATTCACACACCGCGTTCATTACGAAAATAGATGAGATTAACGCGCACAAGCAAGCACAGTTTAGAGATATGTGCATGACTTTGTAAAGCTCATTAAACAGCCTGCGAACACCAGAACAAGAACTAAATGGAAATGCCTATGAACATGGCAGTGATCTTTGCATGCCGAATAGGCAATTATGTTGACACGCTTTTGCACAATCTCCTCTGTCTTCAATAGAAACCACTTGCTTTTGGGTGTGAACTGAACTGCAGTATTTAACAGACATCAAAAGCTTTCCCACCCACTTGGCTTTTGGGTGTGAATCGCATTCTATATTCCACCCCCCCCCAATGCAATTGATTGACTCTTCTCTTACTGATAAACTAGTGGCCATCGTGCTAATTATGGCATCAGTGACTATGCAGCAACAATCCGCACGGCTTAATAAAGCTGAATGATTTTCATATGAGAATAATTCAAGATGATCATATTACGTGCAAGGATAAGCAGTTTGATGTTATCAGCGGCAGTTTTGTTGTTAGGACAATAGTTTTTTTGCGTCCCAGATATGTCATTTCTTATTCAGTGCTATTTTTTTTGGGGATATATGCACGGGAGAACTCAATTGTACTGTCGCGACAAGTTTTAGGACTTCCAATGAAATTCCAAGCACAGGATGTTCTTCACCGCGAAGCTGGCGTTGCAATCGCTTCAGGGGTTTCCTCGGAGATAACCATCTCTCCCATGGTAGCACCTTGGTTAAGTTCACGAGGTTTGGGCTTGGAAGCAAGGGACCATGCTAGGCTCGACCCCTTCTTTTTATTTTCTTTTCTTTTTTGCGCGCGACACGGCGTGAGCTTAGGCTTGCCAGGCCACGTCGTGTTCAGGCCGACACGGCCTGTTGCCCGCACGTGGGTGCTTTTAGGCTCTGCTTGTTTCGCAAAAAATGAGTGATTCACAAAACATTTTCCTCAAAACATCTTACTTAAGAACGATCGCTGACAAAAATAAATGGATGAGAAATATTTTTCCCGGTTCACGGCAAAGTTTGATAATGAAAATATTTTTCATTAACTAGTTATTTCAAGGAGTGCAAGCCATCGTTTTTATGGGAATATTTTCTAAATTATTCAATTTTCGGGAGACAAACGAAATCCTAAGGGGTTGGACCAACAAGGCCTTTGTCAATCATCCATTATCTTGCTCTACTTTAATGATGTCTAAGATCGATTTGAACTCTTTCGAGCGCTCGGGAAAAAGTCCAAAAGAGAACATTTAAAAACGTCTTGGCGCGTCCGTGTTTCGTTTCTGTATTTTGTCTCTTACCTTTTTCTTTACATCTTTCGTAATTTGACTATTGGAAATCTTTCGAGACATATTGACATGGTCATACACAATTATATATTTTTACAAAAAATGAACGTTCGAGCAGTAAAAGCTCCACAAAAAAAGAAATGAGATTTGCCGGTTGAAAATCTCTTCCGGTGGAGGAGCATGAGCCGAGATTCACTCGTTGCTATCGGTTGGTCGGCATGTTGCCTTTGAATTAAGCCAATTGTTAGAAAAGATTTTATCGAAAATGTGGAACGTCACTGAAAGTGGTGATTGGGATTTTTTTTCATCAGCCCAGCCTATATAAAAGAAGGGTACGGAAATATAATTATTTCAGAAAATCGGCCATGGTTAAATCCTCGCCCCATGAGGCGGCATGACCGAATGATATCACGTTAACATTAGATGGCACCGGCATCGATCTCCCGTCCGACAAGATCTTTTTGGTGACAACTAGGAAAGACTAACGTTTGAGGTGAGGTGGATGCTGGATGATTCCATCGTCATCTTCCCGCACTTTCCTGTTTTTTTGCCGCCATCTTCACAGCATTCGATCCATTCTTCTCTCTCTCTCTCTCTCTCTCTCTCTCTCTCTCTCTCTCTCTCTCTCTCTCTCCTTTCTTTCAATCTCCCGAGAGAAAGCGGAATCACCCATCATCGGATTTGTAGCAAAATCCCGATTTTGTGCGATACCCAGAATAGGGCTGTCAAAATAACCCGGTCAAACACGATCCGACCCGACTCAACCCGACCCGACCTGAAAATTTTCATATTAGGTCGGGTTGAGCCTCGACTTGTTTGGGTAACAATCAAAATAATACCCAATTGTTTTGGGTTTATTGGGCTCGGATACCCAGCCCAACCCAAACAATGAAACATCTCTGTTCCACATCTCTCTCACACACTCTCTCGTCTCTTCTGGGTAGGTAGGATTTCTTGCAATCTACTGTTCCTGAGGCTGCGAAGTCGATTCCGAAAGGGGCCATGGCCAAAAGAATCATAGGGAAGGTCAAGTGGTTTAGCGACCAGAAGGGCTTCGGCTTCATAACCCCCGACGACGGCTCCAAGAATCTCTTCGTCCTCCAGTCCGAGGGCTTTCGCAGCCTCGTCGAGGGCGAGGCCGTCGAGTTCTAGATCAAGTGCGACTCATTATCCTCATCAATTTCAGGACCGTCGAGGATTCTTTCCTTTGGTTATTTTCGGTCGTCCAACGTCGGTGAATGAAGCGTTCTAGAAGCTGAAAATCGAAGGTTATATGTTCTATTCATCTGCAGTTGCTTATGTTTGAAAATGGTTCAGTCTTTCAAATCTGAAGGTAGGTAAGTGGAGCGATTTTTTGCAATCTTTGAAATCATTGTCAATAATTTTCAAAATTCTGCATTTAATGGAGGCGTTTCAGCTGCTTGGTCTAGTGTCTTCTTCGTCCTGGTTTATGTCTTCTTCAACCCAAAGGATCCTTAGCTACAGCGGGGGTGGTTACGGCGGGTCGGCTACAGTGGTGGCGGGAGAGGAAGGTACGGAGGTGGCTACGGCCGAGGCCGAGGCGGAAGCTGCTGTAACCTAACATTAATTTAAAATTAAAATATGAAACACAAAACCCGACCCGGCCCGGCTCAACTCAACCCGATCTGATCGTACAGCTGTATCATGTTTGGGTCTTGTCTTGGGTCGGGCCAAACGCATATGATCATTATATCGGGTCGGGTCGGGTCGGGCCGGGCATCATGAAAACCTGACCCGACCCGACCCGACCCGTTGGCACCCCTAACCCAGAACCGTAGATTTTACTAAAACTAGCAGTTACGGCGACTCCCAGGCCCGATTCACCCGCACCTCCTCCAGTTACGGCGAAGTTTGCAATTTGCGTCCACTTGCAAACGGTTTGCATTTGGGGATCTGCTTCGTGTCAAGACCTGATGTGTTTAATGATAATGACCCGATTTGTTGTGTTGGCGTTTGCTGTCTGTTGGCACCAGGTTTCATACCCTTTCAGAAAGCCAGAGGTTTCGGATATACTATTATTATTCCAGGCACCGCCAATATTGCAGATTTCTTTTAATGGTATTTGAAAAATTGCAGTTAACCAAGTTGTGATTGCTCCGCAAAATTTGCACATTGCTTATTAGTTTCTTGCTTTGTTTGTGGCGTGCAGCAAGTTGGCTGCCGTTCAGCCGATGTATTGAACAGTGTGTTAGTATTTAGTTGTGCGAAGCCTTGTTGACAAGAGCAAATGATGGTATAGCAATGAACATCAGGATGATACTAGGAAATATGGTCCGAAGAATCTCGATAGTAGTTCCACGAACAATCCTTTGCGGGATTGGATTTTTCTGATAGTGGAAATGCCATAAAACGCGAACCAAGATCCGTAATTTTGTGGCAAAGGCTGGGGACTACGTTGAAGTAAGTCTTTATCTTCAATCCTGCACCTTTTATTCCGACTTGTTTTTTACATGTACCCTCCTGTCCACTCTCATGCACGTAACAACTACGTTTCTCTTTGTACTAATTCTGAATGCCTGGTGGTTTTTATTGTAGGTTCGCGATGGTAAACTATTGGTGAACAGTGCTGCTCAAGATGATTTCCATATTAGAGCCACTTTCTTATGAGATGGAACCATTGGCGATGCTAATTTGAAGTCGTGCCAACTTAATTTGCTAATAGCATCACACAGCCGACATTTTGATCAAGCTTTCTGCCCGTTTCAATTGCAGCTTATTCCTGAAGGATATGTATTTGTAATGGGAGTCAAGAGGAACAACAGCTTTGACTCCCATAACTGGTGAGTTTTGTGTCTTCCGCTAATTCCTACTCCTCCTTGTGTAAAGCGATAAATCGAGTAAATTGCATCTGGGGGAATAGAGAATTTTGCAACTTTTGTATGCACCTTCTATTATTTAGTTGTTTTCAGAACGTTAGGAGCTTGGTTCTGTTTAGTTTTCGTAGTTGAGCAGAGTAATTGTCATTTTTTGTTGTATATTTGTGTATTCGATGGTCATTCGCTTGATTTGATTACTGTGAATTCTGACGCGTGAAGTTTTGATACTTGCAGGGGTCCGCCTCCTATCAAGAACATTGTTGGCAGATCAGTGTTCCGGTATCGGCCTCCTTCCAGGGTCTCGGACACTAGATCTGAGCCTTAATCTGCAAAAGAAGATGTTGGATCCTGACATAGCCTCATGCTCGCTGATAGGGCAATCGGCTGTTGACTCCTTATCTAATTTACGTGGTGATTTTTACAATTATTCTCCACTCTTTCTGTCTCATTGTTGAGCATATGTGAATATGTTCGAGTCTTCCTTTAACCTTGCGCAGGCAGCTTGCTTTTGCCTGTTCTTGATGGATTGTCTCATCCATCTTGTGAATAGTGAGAGGTAAAAAGAACCGAGAAAAGATCCAAAAAAAAAACAGAAAAACCAAAAACCCAAGAAAAGGGAAAAAGAAGAAGAAAGACAGAGACTGATCCAATAGTTTGTTCATGGGTTTACTTAGCCAGTGTGGAAATTTTTTCCTTCCTGTAATGACATTTTGTTACATTTATAATAGAAGAGTGGCGAGAGCCTAAGATTTGAGCCGTATGTGGCACTATTTTCATCTGTGTTTGAAGTGTAGTAACCGAGAAATTTTCCAGTGTATTCTGTGAACTGCATAATCCTTTCTGTCTGTGTTGATTTAGTGAAGGGAGTGACGAAATTTAATCGGAATGCAAACCAAATGTTTGTTCCGTTCTAGTTGAAGGCATGCGTTCCTTGGTTAATTTCTTCAGAATGCTGTAGAAATTCATGAACAGCTAGAAGGGGATCCCTATCAACATATTATTTGTGCAGTAGATTATTTTCTTCAGCATCTCGTAGCTTTTCTGCTGGATTGCGCATTATTTTACTTTTGTCATTTCTTAGGTATGTATTAGCTTCTTCACCGTACGCATGTCTCGGTTCAACTTGGCAAACGTAATTCATGTATGCGAGGTCACATTTTTCTTCATCAAATAAGCTTAATTAATACTTTTCTTTAGTTATTAGGAAAAGGCTCTACGGCAGCGCCATGAAAAAAGTTCTTCAGCTTACCTCTGCCCTTTCCCTGAAGCCAGAGATTCATGGATACAGTCCATTCTTTAACCACCCCAACCCCCAACACCAACCACCACCCCCCCACCACCCCCCCTCAAAAAAGAAAAAACAAACAAATGAATGCAGAGATTCGAGAGGTATCCACGGAGTGAAACAGTTCGAGAGTAGTACAGTGGTGGTGATGAAGCCATGGATTATATGACATGAACACTGCAATGGGATTTTAATCAACTTAATGAAGCTAAATTTCTAGAGCCTACCCTTTCATGGTTGCATTAGAATTAAAATCAACCCCAGTCAAACCATTTGCTTTAGAATCACCAGCAGTCAAAGTCAAACCGTTTGCTCCTCCATTCATGTCCACTGTCTGGTATCCATACCAAGACGCACACAGCAAAAAGAACCCAAAATTCACGACGCTTAGTCCTGCCAATAACCAGTAGAAGTAATTCATGACGGTGAAATTTAAATTTATGTCTTTTTTTTTGTTTTTGTAGAATATTTTTATAAATAATAATAGAAGCTCAATTAGACTCAATATGGCTCCCTAGCTTGTCGAGTGGAGTATTGGTGAGCTCGAACTCAACTAGACTCGAAATTAGGCAAGTCGATTTCGAGTAATAATTGAGCCGAGCCCGAGGTACTCACGAGCTGCTTGACTCACATTTTACCCTATCCTTGGCTTTTCCTATTATTATTATTATTTTTTTTTGTCAGACCTTGCTTTTGGCTTTTCTTATTGAGCAGGCGGAGAAAGGGTGCTTTTATGGGAGGGGGGGGTGAGGTTTCTTTTTGGAGGAAGAAAGCCTGAATCCTCAAAGATGTATTACTTGTTTTGTCATAGCAGTATTTCAGTCATTATCTGTTTTGGTGCTGCCCTTGTGCTCGCACTTGACATCCTGCTCTCCCGTGGCACTTATATAACCTCAATTGTGATGTAAATCTATTTGGTTCAAATTGCTCTCCCTCTTCACCTGCGGGGAAATTTGACGCTATCAGATAGTGGATTGGCTGAGAAGCAAATATACCACGCTGCACTTGATGGTAACTGCATGCAGAAAAGCGATTAAGTTACGCCATTGTCAATTAGGTTATTCTATGGACACGGTAGATATTAAAGTTCATTGGTCAGATACCTCTTGCTGCTTGACGCAATCCCTTCTCTGAGCTAATAATTTGCATAGTTACACAACTACACATAGACAAGGTTGAAGCTCTCTTGTGCCGCTGCAAGTCTGATTAGTCGAGGCTGATCAATTTGCACAGCAATGTACATTCGTTCTCTTTTAATTTTGACACTGAAAAATCTATATGCGAGTCCTTTGCAAAGCTACGGTTACGAAGCTCTTCTACTGTTCTTAAGCTCTTATCCATTTCTCGGTGTTCTAGCCGGTGCGAGTTGAATTTGCCCTCACTTCTTTGTCAAGGTGAACATGGGTTTGTTCTGCTTTTTCTTCTCTGTGCCCGTGTCTCAACATCTCTAATCCACACAAAACATATAAGAGCAGGGAAATTTGAGTGATCCCTTAGGTGGCGAGTTCAGGACACTAGATCTTACAAGGCTTCTTACGTTGATGCAATGTTGATTTTTCCTCTGGAAGTACTATTCTGCGAATCTAGGGTAATGGGGTATGCCGACAAATACGTGATCTCTGGATTTTTTTACTTTGGTCCTGTTCCATCTATGTATGAAACTCGTAATGATTATGATCTGAAGATGGGTTCTGTCCGCGATGATTCTTCTGACGCACAATTGAAGGACAAGTGGGCAAAACATGGTCAAGAGAGAGGGGTGGCTTCAGATTCCAGGTTCCATTAGACAGTAAAAATACTCTCCTCGGTGCTCTATACGAAGCAGTAGGAGAGGTAAGACAAATGGAGTGTGTTATTGACCGACACCGCTTTGAAAATCACTCCACCTTACCTCGCAAACTAGTCTAATTGTGTGCTCCTCAACTGGTGTGCTATTTACTGTGGAAAGCAATTCCATATCCCGTGCAAGCAATTGCTGGGAAAGAAGAAAAGCAAAATTTGATGGCTCATATAGATCCAATCCATGTCCTTTGCAAGCAATTGCTGAGTATGAAGTAAGCAAGTTTTGATGGCTCATATAGATCCAAGTGAATAGAAGTGAGTCCATGCTTCCTGCAACACGACAGTACACCTCTCGTGTTATTCCAGTTCATCCTCGTTGAAAGTCGACAAGAGTTTGCAAACTTGTGATGGACATGGATTTACGAACTATAGCCAAACAAGTTTTCATGAGGCAATGAACCTAGAACCGAAACAGCACCAACATGAAAGCTGGACGAAGACAAACAGCAGCAACAACACAAAAGCTCCCACCTTGAGGTCAGACGTCAACTTTAGGTTTCAAAGCAGCTTCTTGATTGAAGATATTCATGAACTCTTTGACCTTTCCTTTCGCGCTGCTTCTACCAATGCCATCTCGTTGACCCGTTGGCAATCCCTGCGATGCAACTTTTGTTACTCCTTTGCTGTTCGAACCGCGCCGACCATCTTGTTTCTTTACTCCTTTATCAGCATCATTCTGCCCAAGAGACTGTTCAGTACTCATCAGGAGACTGTTCAGTACTCCTTCTTCCCGTCTGCCATGACCTCATTACTCTCTGCAACTGGAAAAAAGAGATGCTGAATTCGAGATTTCATGGAAAGATATAAAAGCTACAACTCTGAATGTAGACTACCGTGTTCATCTTTATCACTTAGCAAAGAACGAAGAGGTTTTAATTCGGGCTTGGATAGTTCTTCCTCTTTCTCCATATTCTGACGCAAACCTGTCTGGGGCAGAGCGTGGGATTTTGTTTCTCCTCTTATTGCATGGCATGGCATCACTATGACCATCTGCGCTGTTCCTTAAGCTGCTCAAAGTTTTTGGTCTGCTAATACTGACGTCTGCTTCTTCAGCAGCGTGGCGTGTTTCCGCTTGGACTTGCAAGCTTGATTGCTCCATTGTCACAGGGGAGGCTGGAAGATGATGAGGTCAATAGAAGTTAAAACAAAGGCATTAATCGGAAATGTTTTACCTAACATCCTAAAGCGATTTCTATAGAGTATCCTTTTGCAGCCAAAAAGATGACGCGGAAACCATTTATTCAATATGATCGAAATTTGCCAAAACAAGTTTTCTTCTGCTGTAAATGGAAAGCAAATTGAGACACAATAGCACCACCCTAGAATCACTTTTTTCTCCTGACCTAGCCGTCTCACAACCAGAGCTCTCAGTAACGCGCGTTTCTTCTCACGTTCACACCCAGCTGCCAGAAAATGGATCTGAGAGAATCCATCGCCAACCAGACTGACGCCGCCCTCGCCCTCTCCAAGCAGCTCCTCTTGACCGGGGCCAAGGACTCCAACCTCGTCTTCTCTCCCCTCTCCATCCACATGGTGCTCGGCCTGATCGCCGCCGGCTCCGCGGGGCCCACCCAGGACCAGCTCCTCTCTTTCCTCAAGGCCAAATCCACCGACCATCTCCACTCCTTAGCTTCTCAGCTCCTCCTCGTCGTGCTCGCCGACGACAGCGCCGCCGGCGGGCCCAAGCTGTCCTTCGCGAACGGCATTTGGATCGATAAGTCGTTGCCTCTTAGGCCTTCTTTCCAACAGGTGGTGGACGCGTCTTATAAGGCGGCCACTAATTTCGCTGATTTCAAAACCAAGGTTAGTTCTTTCTCTTTCTTCTGTTTATTGGGTCGAATACATGCGCGGCTTTCTTGGTTTCTTTGGTCGGATGGTTCTGGGAGGCTGAAGTGACTGTGCTTAGATATTTTAACTAGGTGTTCTACCCATTTGCTGTTTCGTGGGTGGAACGCTCTTCCGTGGATTGAAACGTAAGAATATGTTTTATTCGTGAAAACAGTTTTGAAAATCATTTCCTCTTCTAATTTTTCTTCGGTTTGGGATTTGAAATACTGCTCGTAATTGGTTTACTTGTTTAACAGAAACCTCCCGGAATGTTAAGGCAATAGCTCTTTCTTAATGAAGTATAATCCAAACATGCACAAACAACATGTAAATCCGCTAAAGTGAGCTCATAGTAACCTTGTGTTAGAGGCCTACATGATGAACATAAAAGAATGGTCACAAACTCTGGTAAGCTTCAAATGAAAAAAGTTCAATCCAGATGCGTTGGTCAACAATCATACAAAGTTTACTTAATCAGGGCTTTAGATGATGTTGTTTGAAGCTATCAAGTTGGAAGGGACCACGATCGTGCCCTGTAGGTGCATTTACAAGGATTTCCTATTTTCTGTCATATTCTAAGCATGTTAAAGACGTAAACTTTATGCTCCCAGATTGCAACTCGCTAGTGCAACAAGTTTTACCCTCCTAACCTTCCCATTCATCATCAATGTACTGATTTTCCACAGATTTACTACATGGGAATTTGTAGCAGGGGCAAATATTGATATTGCATCTGGCTCCTGTGCACTTCTCACCGTAGCCATAGATCATGTAAATACAAAGAAATCGAAATGACCATATTAGGAAAAGAAATTTAGCATAGTTATTACATAATACATTGCCCTCTCGCTGTGGGAACCCCAATCACAGGTTACGCTATCATTTCTAATTGGATATTTGCATACTTGTCATGATCAAGCAATTTCAGTATGGCTGTAGACCGGAGTGAGATGTGTCATTGTAGATGTTTCTGGAAATTATAATTGGAAATTAGTTCTACAGCTTCTGCTACTGGTTTCCACACGGTGCTTGTAACGACCCGGTCCGACGAGGGTGGGGAGTGGTCGTCGGGGCCAGAGGGCCTGGACAAGGAGTGGCTCCTGGCAGGCTTCTAGGATGGCAAGGGGGGGCATGTCTCTTGTCCCACATCGCCTAGGGGGGAGTCCTGGACTAGTTTATAAGGGTTTGGGAAGCCTTAACTTGCAAGAGGCCTTTTCTGGGGGTAGTATGGGCTGCCCTCAGAGGAACAAAACCGTGAGGACTTAGTGTCCAAAGCGGACAATATCTTGCGAGTGGGACCCAGGTCGTTACAGGCCTTGTGCGACTTCATTATCCAATTTTTTGGGCCGGTTGTACTCCTTCTTTCTTCTAGCCCAATTAGCCAAATTTGAGCTCCAACAATACGGAAGTCGTCACTTGTAATGGCTACACCTGAGCTTATTAAGAAATTGGATGGGATAATCGATCTGAGGAAGCTCGAACTCATAAATTTGAAGAGCAAGGATGGGAGAACATCCAGAATATGGAGCATCTCTCAACACTTGGTCTAAGGGCAGAATCAGGGGAGTATCTTGAATTGGATCATATCCAGGACAAGCCCGGGTTTGAGTTTCTTCAACACCTTTACTTAAAAGGGCATATGCAAAAGTTTCCCAGGTGGGTTTCTTCCCTTGCAGGATCTCATCAAAGTCGGCCTAAAGTGGTCGAGATTAAACATCAACCCACTTCAATCTCTTCAGGGTTTGCCTAATCTGATGGAGCTCTATATGGTAGACGCTTTTACGGGGCAAACAATGAAATTCGAGGCGAACACTTTCAAGAAACTGAAGATACTTTCGATTGAACAATTCAGCGAGCTGACCATGGTGGCTGTGCAGGTCAATGCAATGCCTGCTCTCGAAAAGTTGACATTTTCCAAATGCGAGAAATTGAATATGCTTCCGTTGGGTATAAACATGCTCACTCGTCTCCAAGAACTGCTTCTGTGTAACATGAACCGGGAGTTCATCAATCGGCTCCGGAAGAACAGTGAAGATCGCAATTTGGTCAGCCACGACAGGGACATGCATTCTTACACTCTAGGCGAGGATCAGTTATGGGTGCGCCAGAATCTTCCTTGAAACTACAACCTCATGCCTTGGGGTGTTTCTCTTCAAATTTCAGCATTGGCTAATTGATTTGTGCAATCACGCTAGCACAGAGTATGTGTGCAAGTGTCGTTTCTTGCTTCTGTTTACCTAAGTTATGGGTCGTGTCATGAGCTCCGATCTGAAACTCTTTGATTTCAGTTTCGTTTGGCTTTCTCTGCTCTCAATAAAAAGGACTTCAAATGTCACCCTCGATTCTTTCCTGTTGAAGTTGCTTACTGGTTCATATATCTGTTTTCCTACATTATGAGATGATAAAAGATCCTCACCAGATCATGGGGATCTTCAAGAAGTAATCTTTCGTCTTTCACACAATAAGACCATGGGCTCGGCATTCATTGGATTACAGCTTTGATTTTCTAATCAAAGCTCTGGGCCGTGTTCTAATTGGCATTCAAATTGCCATGTGGTTCAAGGAATTGTCAAACAACTTGGCACGACCGTGTTTTTTTATCCAACGGTCAAGATCGCCCGCGTGCGAAGAAGCATGCGCTACCGTAGGAAAGCGCGAAGTAGGAACATGTCCAAATTGTGGACCAACATGACTTTAACACAATTTACTCTAATTTTACGACAGGGATATTTTGTCATCCGATGGTCGACATCGATTGCTTTTGATCCAATGGTTGAGATCACCCACAACAATCTTGTCGTGCGAAAGGCTTTGAGAGATAGAGAGGCTTCTTCTTATGCCACTTTCATTGTCATAATATATAAGGAAAATGACACAAACAGTCTATAAATTTTGGTCCAATGTGCAATTTGATTTAGGAACTTTTAATTTGTTCAATGTAGTTCCTGAACTTTAACCAAATATGCAATGTAGTCCTTGAACTTTTAGTACATGTTCGATTTAGTCTCTGAACTATATGAAAATATTCAATGTAGTCCTTTCATTAATTCAAGTTTAGGGACTACATTGAACATTTTTCATATAGTTTATGGACTAAATCGAATATGTACCAAAAGTCTAGGGATCGCATTGAACAATTAAAAGTTCAGGGACCACATTGAACATTAGGCTAAAGTTTAGGGACTACATTGAATAAATTAAAAGTTCAGGAACTAAATTGTACATTGGGTCAAAATTCATGGACTTTTTGTGTCATTATCCCTAATATATATTGTGAGATATAATTGGAGCTTCGAGTAAAATTATAAATATCATTTAAGTATTATTTTATATTTCTCTTTGTCCTCTGTTTCTTTTTTTAGTAATTTTTTTTCAATTCTTGCACATCAAAATGAAAGTCGTTTTTTGGTAAGCCGTCTAGGAAAATCTTTAAAAAAAAACTAAAATTAATAAAATTGAAAATTGAAAAACAAAATCAAATTTGAAACCCGAAAAAAGAGAGTTAATATCACGAAAAACTCCAAACTTGTACCATTTGACAAATTTACTCAAAACTAATTTTTTTAACCATGAAAAATCTCAAACTGTTATACTTGTGACAAATTTAGTCCAAACTAATTTTTAACTACCAAAAACCCCATACCGATACATTGTGATAAATTTACCCTCCGTTAAATTGAATTAATACTACGAAAAATTTTAAACTAATACACATGTGACAAACGGAGTATAAACCCCAAACTAATACCCATCAACTGCCACGTGTCATCTAACTCATAAATTTGACAGTAAAATTTAACGAAAACTAATAGAGGATAAAATTGTTACAGATGTACCAGTTTGGGATTTTTTGTGATAAAAAAATTAGTTTGAAATAAATTTATTATTTTTTTGTGAAATTAACCCAAAAAAAAGCAAAAATTAAACAGGAGATAGCAGAGTGAGGGTTGGGGGATGATTCTATAAGGCGGCCCTCTTTGCCGACTGGCGAGGGCAAGCACCCTTCCGCCGCTCCGCGGTGGCGCCACAACGGCTGTCACAGGGCTAAAACTTGCACCATGGCGTCAAGCACACCCCTTTGTCTCGCACGCACGATCGAATTCGAGCAATGTGATGTCAATGAACCGCTTCAAGCATGAATTTCAGGCGATGCCGAATGCGGGCGACACACGATCTAAGCAAACACCAATGCAGGGCAATCCCACGCTCACCAAACACTTGGGCACGGAGCTGCAATCGCCGTTCACGTTCTGGGGTTGAACATGATCAAGAACACTGGACAAAGGATCAGCGTTTCATCATGCACATCAAGTGTTCGACAAATGCCTTAGTGTTTGTTGGGGGAACTTCCAACGTTTCTTGATATTCAAAACCAACCATACAAAGTCTGATTATCCACGGTTGGTGTACTAGTCATGTCTAACTGGCATCGACTGGGCAGTCAATAAAGTGGGCAAAGTCCCACTTCGGGCAACTAAGGAGATATTTTGGGGCTTATAATGGGTTGGGGTCCCTTTCCTGGCGCAAAATTTCTATTCCCGGCGGCAGTAGGCAGCAAGGGTGAGTAATAAAATAGAGTTGTTATTTTTATTTCTCTTCCAGAAACAAAAAGTAAAAATTTTAACTTCTCATTTCTGTTTCAAAACTATTTCTGGACCAAAATTTATCCTAGAAATAAAAAAATGAAATTATTTTATTAAATGAATTTCTATTCCAAGCCTGTTCCAGTTTTTCCACCCGTTGTAACCTATCAAGATGGTATCAGAGCCACTCCTTGGCAACTGCAGAAGTTACCCAAGTGGGTTTCTTCACTGCAGAGTCTCATCAAAGTCGGCCTAAAGTGGTCGAGATCAAACATCAACCCGCTTCAAGCTCTTCAGGATTTGCCTAATCTGATGGAGCTTGATATGGTCGATGCTGTTACAGGGAAAACACTGGAATTCGAGGCAAACACATTCAGGAAACTGAAGATACTTCAGATTGAACAATTCGGCGAGCTGAGCGTGGTGGCTGTGCAGGTGGATGCAATGCCTGCTCTCGAAAAGTTGACATTTTGCAAATGCGAGAAATTGAATATGCTTCCCTTGGGCATAAAGATGCTCACTCGTCTCCAGGAACTCCTTCTGAACGACATGAATGAGGAATTCACCGATCGGCTCCATAAGAACAGTGAAGATTGCAATTTGGTCAGTCACGTCAGGGTCATCCATTCTTACACTCTTGGCCAGGATCAGTTATGGTTGCCTCAGAATCTTTCTTCATGCCTTGTGATGTTTCTTTTCAAATTTCAGCACTGGCTAATTGATTTGTGCAATCACACGAGCACAGAGTTTGTGTGTTGGTGTCGTTTCTTGCTGCTTTTTACCTCAAGTATGGGTCATGAGCTCTTATCTGGACTCTATGATTTCAGTTTCGTTTGGCTCTCTTTGTTCTCAATAAAAAGGACTTCAAATGTCTATCTCGAGTCTTCCTTGTTGAAGTTGCTTGCTGGTTCATATGTAAAGAGATGATAAAAGATCCCCACCAGATCATGGGGATCTTCAAGAAGTAACCTATGGTCTTTAACAAAATAAGACCATGAGCTTGGCATTCATTGGATTACTGCTTCTATTCACTAATCAAAGCTCTAGATCGGGTACTAATTGGCATTTAAAAGTGGGTTAAGCTGAGGTTTTCTTTTGTTTTATTTTTTATTTTTGCATTTACTGATAAATGTCAAATTGCCATGCGGTTCAAGAATTTGTAAAAAAACTTGGTACTTTAGTTGGCTCTAAACAAAGCAACTTAGTGCATGCATTGAATTGAACTAGTAATTCTTCCCATTCTCAAGCTTTTCTGATGAGTTTCATATTCTTAACCTCTCTTCTTTTTGATGCACCTAGGGGACCGGCGAACCCGTTATGCGACTAAACGAACCGACGGGCTCGAAGTCAACGATCTCGGATTGAGCTCAAATTTGGTCGGCTGAAGCGAAACGGCGTGCTGATCAATACTCACTGCCATGGCCGTGACTAACGATGGATTTTCGCGATTCGGAGTCGTTTAGATGGGTTTTTCTATTATTTTAGTATGTTTATGGGTTAATTTAGTAAAGGGCAGTTTCATAATTTTGCGTTTTGATGTTTGTTAATCCTAGTAGGGATAGATTTGGGGATATATAAGCTTGTTTTAGGGTTTCGTTTGAGCATACTTTGGATAATTTGATTGTTACTCGATTGAGAGAACAGTTTGTTCCTCGTTATCATTTCGATTCTTCTGTTTAGCCTAATTTCTTTCACGCTTCGGCATCAATTGGTATCAGAGCATAGGTTACCTGAATCAATGGCTAAACAGAATCGAGGTGGTCGAAGACAGCGTGCTCGTGGAGGCCGGGGGCGTGGAGTTGTTCCTGATGCAGATGAACAGCCACGTCTGAAAGACCTGCGAGATATAGAAATTCAAGAATAGAGAAGGCAAATCCAGGATTTGGAGCGACGTCTTGTGGAGGCAGGGCTTGACGCTCAATCCGAAGAAGAAGTAGAATCTGAGGATCCATCCGATGATGAAGAGGAGGACGTAAACCCATTCGGGGTTCTGAACCAGGGGCAGAATCGAGGAGTACGACCTAGAAATCAGTGCTCTTCTCAAAATTTCGGGATGAAGATTAAGATTCCCGGGTTTAATGGTAAGGCTCATCCTGATGAGTTTATTGATTTGTTACATACGGTAGAACGGATTTTTTATCTTAAAGACCTAACCGAGGGGCAAAAAGTGAAGTTAGTGGCTATTAGGCTGCGAAAACATGCTTCGATTTGGTGGAAACACGTGAAAAAGCAACGCGCTAGAGAGGGGAAGCCGAAGGTGGATCGCTGGGAGAAGATGAAAAAGTTGTTGCAAAATTTTTTTTTGCCTACCCATTATAGGCAAGAGGCGTTTATCGAGTATCATAACGTCAAAGCAAGGTGATAAAACAGTTGAGGAATTTACAGAGAAATTTGATCGCTTGCGGATGCATTGTGATGTGGCGGAGGAAGGCGAGCAGACGATTGCTCGATATCTGGCAGGGCTGCGATATGAGATCTCTGATGTTGTCCAATTACAGCAGTATTGGACATATGAGGATGTGTGCAAACTAGCCCTA